ATAAAACATCTATTACCAGTGGTAAAAGAGTGAACCACTAACACTGTTTTCCTTTGGGAAAAGGCAAACTTTAAAATTTTCTTTATAATGGTAAACACTATATAGTTCTGCAGTGCTATAATTTCCCCTCCCTTTTCTCCCAGAAAAATGACTACTTGATAATGAATTATAGCTGTCTCAATAAACTGTTGAGATCAGCAGGACTTATGCAAAATTTAGGTCAATTGGATGCCCAGAATATTGAAAACCTCATACAATTTGTCTTAAAATTGGTATTTAGAAAGTACCCTACAGTTAAGGACCTGAGCTTGTTCTTCAAAGCCTATGAGTTCGACTCCCTCACTGCAAGGAATTTTCTCCTCATTCTGTGCCCATCAGATACACTTGTGCTTTCTATATCAATCAGGTTGTGATTTCAATCCCTGCATTGTGATTTTTTTCCCCAAGTGTAATACATTTACCAAATTTATATTATCTTAATATATTTAGTGAATACTCTTATTGACACCTGGACAAATTACAGTCATTTCATTTATTGATTTTCTACAGAGTGAACATGTAAGATTACATAGGTTTACTTGCTTATCTGTTGGTCCATGTAGAATAATATATTCACTGCATGTGACATCTCAAACAATGTGTGGTATTATCCGATTTAGCAAAGATCATAATAAACAAAATAAAATGCCAATAAAAGATTTGATCCCTGACTGCTAGAGTGGAAAATTAAAGACCTTAACCACTAGGCTATAGAGAAAGGCAAAACGGCAAACCTCTGTTTCACTATGTTTGTACTGTGTGTGTCTGCTGATAATGTGCCACCCAATAACAACACTGTGTGCCTTCTAGACATATGTCTCTCATCTCAGTAGCATGTGTGTTTGCTGAAAACGTGTATTTATTTTTTGGGAGTAAACACTGTCTTTTCAGAGAAAACACAGTATTTACATTACAGCCTAGTGATAACTCCACTGGCCACTCCTCAGATGGTTACTAGAGGCACTTCTTTGGGCAGTCCTGCCTAGTGTGCAGCACAACATTCAGTGTCTTCACCCTCTGCATGCAGACACTGAACTTTCCTCATAGAGATGCATTGATTCAATGTATCTCTATGAGGAGATGCTGATTTGCCAGAGCTGTGTTTGACTTGTGATGGCACTGCCCCTGATCTGCCTCCTTGATAGTCTCAGCCAATCCTATGGGGAAGCATTGTGATTGGCTCAGACCACCACTTCTGATGATGTCAGAGGCAGGCAGGGGCAGAGCTTGCATCTGGAGACTTGAATACAATTAAGATTTTACTATATTTAGGGAGACACTACAGGGTCAGGAATACATGTTTGTGTTCTTCACATTATAGTGCTCCTTTAAGTAACTTATTGTATCAGAGCAGGAATAGTGTAATAATAAAACTCATTAACCTAAGATATTTTTCCTGCATATTGAGTAATATTTAAGCATATGTTTTGAATCCTTTCAGTGCTCTGCAGTGTGCTTAACATATCACTGGCATTTGGTTGAACCAATTAAATAAAGCTTTTTTTGATAGCTGTTTTAATATTTAATATAAATCCAATGGACCTTAAGGTGTTGAGGTGTGTTTTTCAGAAAGAGATGGTGGTATCTGGCTCTCGCCGTCCTAAAACCTCATGAACCACTACTGATTTTCAGTAAAATTCAGTGTTATAGACCTTACAGGGTCGATGGGCTCCACCTGAAGTTGAGGCATTTTACAGCAGGCTGGCAAACCATCATATGAGTTGCAGTTTTCTGACAGCTGGCGACCAAACTTTTAAAAAGCCTTGTCTTAGAGCATGGACTTATTCTTTCATACAATAATATAATTATTTCTACAAATTTAGTGATCCTTCTAGACCATGGATTCTTTATCCCAGGGCTGGAACCTAAAAATTGTATCCCCATGTTATTTCAGTAGGACTCCACTTGTCCGAACATTGAAATCATTTTCATCCAAATCTCGGCTCCTGTCAGCATTAAGCATTTATTGTAGGGTCACTGCCATCCCTATGTTAATGGACAACCATATGACATAAAGACCTGTCTAATAAAAGTGCTTTGTTGAATAAATTGCACTATATATTATACTAGATGGGATAAAAGAGTGACTGAGCTAACTTTACATTTGAAAAATGGGTCCCCAAGTTATTGCCATATACATTATTTGGGTCCATGTCATGCAAATTTAAGTCTCTCTGTTCTAAACTGATGTTTTGTTACAGAAACTCATGGCTTTTTACAACATAGTTAACAAACACATCTTTGAATATCAGGGATATAAATCAAACACTTGTAAGAAAGCAAGGAACAAACAAGCAGATCCACTCAGCGATGTGTTCAATAAACAGCATATGTTAAAGATCTGTTTAAAGTAAATTGCCGAAATTTATTATTATTATTGTTTTTATTATTATTACTGGCATGTATAAAGCGCCAACAAATTCTGAAAATCCTGTACTTTGGGGGTAAAAGACAGTACAATATACACATATCAATATAACATGTTAAGAGGGCTCTGTCCATGATTAGATCTAGCCATTTAAGCTCTTTTATACAAAGTTATTTGCTAATTTGGTCTGCATAGGGCTTCATTTGTAAATAACGAAGAGAGGGTGGACTGATACTGCCTAAGGTTATGTGCAAGTAATGGTAGGGGACTTTTTAACACAACCGATTACGCACAAACCAGTTTTTAAAACTAGTCAGAATCATTAAATGCTGCAACTAACAATATTCCATAGAGAACAGGAAATAAACAGTTTACAATAGGTCATTATTCTGAAATGCTGGGTTGCCAATGGTAGGATGATAAGATCGTACATAAACGTTCTTCTAAACCCATGCCAACATATAGAGAAGGGGATTTTTTTGGAAGTTGTCTGGGTGGGAGATTAAATAGTTCCTCTAGGTGAATAGGAGAAGCAAAAACATTATCCTAGTATTTTATAGACTTCGAATTATTAACACAATGAGGTACTAATAATACCTAATGAGTACTAAGAAATACAATTAACATGAATATGATGGAGTTTTCTTATTTCTATCATTAGCTTTTGTCATATGACTGGACCTTGTTTGGAATAGTATGTTGCAGGGGTAATTATGTAAATTTTTTATTTTCATGTTGAATGTAGCTATGGCTGGATTTACACTGGTAATTTTGGCTCTGTTTTATGCAGAACCATATTTTTGAATTGGATAATTTTAGTAGGACTATGCCCTCTGCCAGATCTAGTGGTGGCTGGACTGCAGTGATCTAATTAGTTTTAAAACCAAAGACAAAAACACTATGTTGTACTTTTTTGGGGGTCACATTAACCCCTATAGGCTTGTTTAAAACTTCTTTAAACAAGGTAAGTCATTACAAAATGCCGATTCAGCTACTTAAATTTCATTCATTAAATGCAGTAAAATATTTATTTTTTTCTAAAATCATCTGAAAGCAGCAATTTGTTTTTGATTCATACAATTAAATCAAGGCCTATGTCTGAAATGTTCTGGATATTTTGAGATATTATACACTGTCCAGAGCTTTGTACATTGCAGGTTGTTTAGTTTTGGTGAAAGATGTCCATTTTTGTTTTTCAAAACAAAAATTTCTCTCATTTCTAATATCAGCTGTATTACGTCCAAAGGGGGGTTTCTTGGAGCACTTGTCAATTTAGAATTTATTTAGAACTTACATTTACAGATTACATTAAAGAAAAGGAGATATAGAGTACGTGCGGTAGTTGTGTTTAGAGTGTGTGTGTTTTATTTAGCATTAACTAGTATACTTGGCAATTTGTTAGGGAGTACAGTAACTGGAGTAGTTATTCTGTATATGCATATTTTATGTAGCACTAACAGTTGTACTTAGCAACACAGCAGAGGAACAGTTGGTGCAGTATTTATGAGAGTACATATAGTCCTCACTTTGCGACTAACCTGCTTTACAACTGCTCCTACTTATGACCAGCTCTCTAGCGCGTGGATTCAAGGGATTTCCCACATTAGAGAGCTGGTCTATTTTCAGAGAATTTTCCCCGAACATAGATTTCAGAGATTGCCTGCGCTTGCGAGCTAATCTATGTTCTGAGCATTTCCCCCATACATAGATCCGCGGGATTTCCTGCTCTAGTTAGCTGGTCTATGTTCGAGGCTCTTTAGCGCATCCTTACTTTCTGATTAATTCGTTTTACGACCGAGTTGCAAGAATGGAACCTGGTCGGTAAGTGAAGTCCACCTGTATATGTGTTTATATTTTATAACGAGTTAACAGACCTATTTTCAATTTAGGTTAAGTTACAGTTAATGGCAGAGGTATGGTAACAAATTTATGCAGTGTGTATTTTACCTATATAATACTAAGATGTGAGCTTAGCCTATTACATTGCTAGACAGGGTTACTGTTAGTGCTATAATTATAGAGAGTATGTATATTCTATTTATATAGTACATTACAGTTTACAGTTGAGGGGAGTTGTGTATAGAACAGAAATTATGCTTTATTATTAAGTGTTGATTCCATACCATCTTGCTATTTCTGTAGCACGTAAGCAGAAACATTTAACTTCACTGTTTATGTAGTGATATTATATTAACATCAAATATATTTTTCTAAGCGTTAATAGCCTTATAATCTATAATGAGTTTTAAAACTTATGCTCAAGATTTAGCAAATTCCATCACAATTCAGTTCTGTCCAGGCACAGACAGGGCACACAATGCAAATGAGGGGAGAAATAGAAAATGGCCAATGAAAAGCATATAGCAAAAATGTAATAAATGACTCACAAAATGACAGAAACTTGGAGAATGGTCAGTCACCAAGGGCTTAAAAATCCTGTGAAATGGCATTACCCCTTTAAATGAATGACAACGTTTCTGTATAATTGCATAGTGAACATTAAGCTACAAAGACCTTATAAAACTATGATTTAGAAAAGTATGTTAATCCAGTTATTGATTTATTTTTTATTTTTTTATTTTGAATGAAGTGTGAATGCTAAATGCTTTAACCCAGCAAAATCATTGGGGAAGGGTTCACAGAGTTGCATTGATTCCCCTATAATTCACCAGTAATTCAAATCATACACTGACATGAAAATGATATTTCTAAGCCATTATTGGATAATGCTGATTTGCTAAGTGCTACCAATAAATTTCGGTGTTCACCCCTCCTTCTCCTATTTTACAAGAGATGCTTTAAACTCCTTTAGCAGTAACAATATAAATTTAAGGTAAATGGTAATATTTTTACAATGTGTCTATTCTAAATTTATGAATATAAGGTTGTTATTAAAAATGTAAATTAGGGCGGAGTTAAGCTACGGACAAGGATAGTCGCATGGACGAGGAGCTCCCGACTAAAATTATACAAATCTGCTGATATTGAAGCCCAACACGGCCCCACGGACCCCAAGGTGCCCCTAACACACCCGACGACGATGGGCAGAAAAACGAAGAAGCCCAAGCCCGACAAGCCCCGTCAGGGTATGAACATCGGGGACATGTGGAGACAGGCCCAAGAGGCCGCGAGCACAACAATGGAGTCCCTGCATGGAGGATGTACAGACTTCTCGGATGAGACATCCGATGAGGGAGAAGGGAGCCTCATACCAACTGGCTTACCACAGCTGCCTGAGAAATCTCGACCACCCGCCTCAACCCACACGCCGGTCACCATGGAGGCTATCACGGCACTCATGGCCTCCCACCATGAAAAAATTTCAACGGAGGTGGCAACAATCCGGAAAGACCTGCAAGGCCTGTGCACCCGGCTGGGAACGGTGGAAAACACCTCCAGAGACCACACAAGCCAGATTGCGGAACTGCAAGCAGCGGTAAGCGACCTGACAAAACAAGCGACACTCCATACACAACAATTGGCCACCCAAGAAGATAGGAGACGCCAAAATAACCTGAAGCTAAGGGGGGTCGCGGACTCCATTCCTGAAGCAGAGCTCCCTCACCTTACCAGGCGACTGCTAACTGCGCTCCTGACTCCAAAGGTGGCAAGAACGATCCTGCTGGATGAGATTTTTCGCATCCCAAAGCCGATTACAGCCCCACCAACGGCTACCGGTGATATAATCCTCCGCTTTCAAACAGCAAGAGACAAAAGGGCAGTACTCGAGGCCATCAAGGGCAGGCCAACATACACCTTTGAAGAAATGTCCCTCTCTTTCTATGCGGATTTATCGAGTGGCACACTGTCCTGGAGAAGGTCCCTCCGGCAGGTCACCTCTCTCCTACGGCAGCAAAAGATCCGATACCGCTGGGGACCCGGCCGGACCCTGAGCATAGAGAGCGCAAGTGGCCCTGTGCTGACACGGAACCTACAAGAGGCCGCAGAGGCATTAGAGAAGCTAAACCTCCCACTGTCAACTCTAGAAGCTGCTTCAGCGCAGAGAGGCCCCACAAGCTGCAGCCTCGGGACACACTCGGCTAGAGCACCGGAATTTGTGCCAAAGCAAAGACCAGCGGAACCCTATGCGACAGCCACCACTTGAACAGAGACTCTGAGCCAGGGACTGCTCACTGGGACGTTTTTCTTCTTTTTTCACCTACACAAAGGTGTGAACTCTCGCTCCGGCTACGGATCACGGGGACTATCAGTTGGAACAACACCCAGGGTCCTCCACCACATTCAACTCAATTGCATACCTACTATCCACACTAGCCCACGCAGTCTAGCCACTTAACTATAACTATAGCTACGCTAGGGGTATGGGAGGCATGCTTCCAAGAGCTCGCTACACTTACCCAGATTAACCCTACCACTCACAGCCCTACCACTCATGTCGCTGTGTCCTTGACCTCAGCGAGCTGAGGCACATAGCCTTAGGAGACCACACTGGCTAGCAGGGCGATACTACACCCTAACTCCTTACTTGCCCAGATTAGGCGAAGTTTATGTTCAGTTTAGCGACCAACACCTGTTTACTTCTAACGTTACCATGTTAGTACTGTATTCAAGCATACCTATATCAAGCTCATATGTTATTCAGTTACTTTAACAAAACAAAGAATGTGCGGACCTTTTCTGCTTCAATTTATAAAACTGTGCAGTTCTCTCACTTGCCATGTCAGATACTGTATGTTGATGTTATGCCTGTGACTGCTGTTGTGGCAACATGGGCTTGCTGTTCTAAACTTGCACTACAAAAATAAAGAATTAAAAAATGTAAATTAGTAAGTTTGTATTTTACACTATAAATAGGTATTGAATGGCTGTGCAAACTTAATAAATAAAACATTTTTTTTTCATTACGGAGGTATTGTACAAAGACTTTATAGCCAAACTATTCCAAACCTTTTTCTATTTTAAGGATCCATTTTAGCAAGGTGTTATAGAAGAGGTAAACGCTTTTATAAATATCCTAACTTACAGAGACTCTTCAAGTTGACTCCTATATAAATAATATTAAACAGGTATGCAAAATAAGAAATGTAAAATGTTTTATTTAAAAACATAATTAATTAAAAGGTACTCATCTTCAAATGTCCTGTGTTTAATGGAAATTTGCAAATCAGGAATTCTTCTCAATGGAATTAAATATGGTTTATGTTTAAAGGAAAACTGCAGGCAATATAACCACTACACCTGGCACCCCTCATTGTATGTAGTCAATTTTTTTTTAAACTTACCTGGTATCTGCTGGACACAGCTCCCTGCCTCAACTACTGGTGACCGAGCTAAGCCCTGCAGGAGAGGATTCCGGGTCTAGCTGTAGTGGTTATAGTATAATGGTTATAGTCCCAAAAGTATTCACTAGAAAAACTCCCAGATAAGTATGTATCTCCCCACCTGGATCATGAGTGTCAAACATTTTGATGACACGTGTATCATCCTGCCCCCATTGTTGTTATCAAAAAGAACTTTGTCATACATTAACCCCTTAAGGACCAAACTTCTAGAATAAAAAGGAATCATGACATTTCACACATGTCATGTATCCTTAAGGGGTTAAATATACACTTTGTTAAATAATTGAAATCATTACTCAGGCAGCTCAACATCATTTTTATGTTTGTCTCTGTCAACTATATAGATGTAAAATGGTGGATGGAGAGTTGATTCAATGCCACAATATATACAGACACACAGACACAAAAAAGGACAACTGAGTGACCACATAGCCAAAACCCTAGCGTCAGTATGTAAGTGGGGGACTCAAAAGTAAACTTACCCCTCTATAATATGGTGGTATTCCCATGTAATATACTCAAAAATAATATAGAGCCTTAGTTGGGTAGGCTCAAATCTCAAAAAATAATATAGCGCCTTAGTTGGGTAGGCTCAAAGCTCAAAAAATAATATAGAGCCTTAGTTGGGTAGGCTCAAATCTCAAAAAATAATATAGTGCCTTAGTATGTCTAATAAGTATTGACTGATTATGTAGACAATTAATCCTGTTATGTCACTTGTTAATTACTTTGTACACTTATATATTGATTGTTATGTGTGTGTTTAGTAGCTTGACAAAGACCTTAAGGGTCGAAACGTTGTGTTTTGGTTCGTGGGTCCAATAATGTTGCCTTTTTTTGAGATACTCTGGAGTGCCTGGATTACTTTCTACATTTAATGCTACATTTGGTCTTTTGGTACTGGGACTGATCTGGTTAGCACCCAAGGATCCCAGAGAGGAAGGGTCTGAGTGCAGTTCCACAATCTATCTATGCAAATCACAAAAGCTGACATGTCTTTTGGTGACACTCTACCTCTTCAATCCTTTGAAGAGGATAGCTAAAAGGTAAAGCAGAAATACAATAAATGGTATAGTATGTAGAACCAGGGAGCCACTAAAGAGAAATAAACTTAGCAGATCACCTTGTTTAGAGTCTACACAAACATGGCTCTAGGTGTATCCAGCACATGTGCCACTAAGAGTGGCACTACCCCTTTAAGGCCGAACCAAGGTGGTAAGAGGATGCCATCTACTAGAATATATTTAAAGAATATTTATGGTTCAAAATTCTATAAGTGGATCAATGGCCAAAGAAACTAATGGAATGTACCTACATATACTCAAATTTATGAAAGTTGGCCTAGGATTACTTTTCATATATACCCCAGCAACATGAGTGTAAGTTGATTGGGTTTAGTAAAAATATCTTTGAGCCTATTTAGTGGAAATGCAAAATAAGCCAGGAGAAGTTTACATATTTAACTTTTTTCTAAAGCTAGTCCATACTGTACATTTTCTAATTTTTATTCACAAGAGAATATAAAATGCACAATAAAGTGAGAGATGAATGACACAAAATGAATAGCTAATCTTTTCTAAAAAGAGGGTAAATTGGTGCTGTGTACATTTGAAATTGAAAAAAAAACTGAACAGGCACTATAAATTGGCTTAAAAGACACTCAAATCAAAATGACGGCTCGTATTTAAGGTCTTAAGTTTGTAGAGGGGCTTATAGCATCCTGTATCTCCCAGAGATGCCATTATGTAAATACATTTCTTTATTACATACGGCTTGCGCACATAATATTGTTATAAATGACCCTTCATTTTCGTAGCCCTCGGGGTATTTTAAACCCAGTTTATATGTATTTGATCATCCCTAATCGCATTTAAACTTTAGAATGAAAATAATGGTCCATTTACTGTCCAATGTTGTAAATCATTGGCATCTTAGGAAAATGCAAAACCCACAAACTTTTAGCATTCTAGGTTCTGCAAAAATGCATTTAAATAGAAAAAAAAAAATGTAATAACTTCTAATAATTTGGTCCGCCTTTCTCTCCTCTACTTTCCACTATCTTATCTAGAGCGTTGGTCTGTTTCATAAGTAAAGGTGAGCATACAGGTCTAAACTAGTTTTATAAAATAGGCGATATTTAATAAAATAAATATGATTTTTTTTTTTTTTTGGCAGCTTACTATCAGACTATTCAATATCGACCGTAGCACAGAGAGACCATGTCAACTCACATTTTTATCTCCCAGATGGATAAAAAATACCGACCACATATTTTTCTTTGTCCTATGTCTTTAACCCATACGGAAGTTCTGTAATTGGCTGGATATTTTTTTTCTCTCTTCTTCTTGCACATCACTAATTGGCTTGTTGCCAGCATGGAGGCCATTGTCTGACTTCATGATGATCAGAAATTAACATGACATTTGCGTGGTGGTAATAAAATAAATTAGCAATGTAATTCATGACTGTAAGAAGTGTCCATCACTTCACCCCACCCACAATCAGCC